GGGGGGAGCCGCAAAACCTCGAACTTAAAACTTACACTCACTATTTTCTTCGAAAATATACGTGAGTTCCACAAAACTAAGAATGGCGCCAAAGAGACAAACCTATAGAAGAAATAGATAGCATATAAATTAAGTCAGTTTAGTCATTCATTGACTCGTACTTTTTTTGAAGAACGAACAATAATCACGCATTACAGAATGGCTACAAAAAAACCAGCAACGACTAGCAAAACTGGTGGTGGAGAAAAACCAAAACAAACATCAGATCCATCCAAGGATGCAGTTCGGCGTCAACGGAGCAGAATTCGAATGGTGCAAAACGTCCTCTTGATATGGTTGGACAAAAATATCGATGACAAGAGTGCTGATTGTCGTAATACGCTGACTCAACTAAGACGAGTTGTCAATACTATCAATACATTTAATGATTGTGAACAGTGTATCGAATTTCTCAAAGATATCCACGATGACAATGTTTGTATGATTATTTCAGGTTCACTTGGAAAAAATATTATGCCACGTGTACACAATATGTCTCAAGTATATTCTATATTTATATTTTGTGGCAATAAACAACAACATGAACAATGGATCAAAGACTGGTCAAAAATCAAAGGCCTATTCACAGATATTTTACCCATTTGTGAAGCTCTTAAAAAAGTTACACAACAATGTGAACATAATGCGACATCGATTAGCATGATGACCACCAGTAATAATGCATGCAAAACGAATTTGGATCAATTACATTCTTCATTTATGTATACACAAATCCTCAAAGAAATACTATTGACAATTAAATTCAAAAAACAACATATTAATGAATTTATTGATTATTGTCGTGATGTATTCGATGACAATAAGGATGCACTGGTTGATATTAACAAATTTGAAGAAAACTATTCTAAGGAAACACCCATTTGGTGGTACACATTTGAATGCTTCCTTTATCCGATGCTCAATCGTGCCTTGCGACTGATGGAAATGGATGTCATCATAAAAATGGGCTTCTTTATTGATGATCTACATCGCCATATTGAACAACTTCATTCGGAACAATTTGGTAATTCTCAATCCGGTGAAATCCTTACGGTTTATCGTGGACAAAGTCTATCAATGGCAGATTTTGAGCAGATGCAGAAGACAAAAGGTGGGCTGATATCCTTTAATAATTTTCTATCAACTAGTAAAAGACGTGATGTCTCACTTAATTTTGCTCGTGATGCTCTTTTGAATCCTGATATGATAGGAATACTGTTCGTTATGACAATTGATCGTTCTAAATCAACGGCTCCCTTTGCTTCCCTTAACGACGTCAGTTGTTATAAAGATACAGAAGATGAAATTCTCTTTTCGATGCACACCATTTTTCGAATCCAAAATATCATACCAATAAATGAAAAAAATCGTCTCTTTCAAGTGGATTTGACACTTACCAATGATAATGACGAAGATCTCCGAACACTTACTCAATTGATGCGAGAAGATCTATTGCCAGATGAAGAAGGATGGTATCGATTGACTAAACTACTACTTAGAATGGGTCAGCCTGAAAATGCCCAAGAAATTTGTGAATTTCTGCTTAATTCAGCAACTGATGTTAAGAAAAAAGGACTTATTTATTTTCTAATTGGATGGGCCAAAGATGATCAAGGAAAATATCAAGATGCACTCCAATTTCAAGAAAAGTCACTTGAAATTCGTCAGAAAACACTGCCTCCAAATCATCTTGATTTAGCTCACTCCTACAACCATATCGGTGCTTTGTATCACAGCATGCGCAATTATTCAAAAGCACTTTCATATTACGAAAAAGCCCTTGAAATTCGGCGACAATCACTTCCTCCAAATCATCGCGATTTGGCTAAATCCTACACTAACATCGGTGCCGTGTATAATCTAATTGGCGAGTATTCGAAAGCACTCTCGTCTCACAAAAAAGCCCTTGAAATGCGACAACAATCACTTCCCACGAATCATCCTGATTTGGCTATGTCCTATAACAATATCGGTATGGTGTATAACAACATGGGCGACTATGCCGAAGCGCGTTCCTTTTATGAACATGCTGTAGATATTGCACAACGTACATTACCACCAAATCATCCTCATATCCGAGCGTATAGAAACAACCTCGACAGAGTAAAATAGAAATTGTAATTAGTACTTGGTTTGTCGGGAAAAAAAAATAAAATAAAATAAAACGCTTAAATAAGCACTGTGGTCAATGGGAACAGTGTGGGTGTGGGTGTGCGTCTAGTTGTCGACATCCTGTTCATCGAAACCCGCACTCACACCCACACCCACACCTGTAAGACATGGTAGTGTCCGAATCACTTAATACTCTATCTACTCAAAGTATTAAATTTCGTATAGTTGACTTTTCTGAAGAGATCTTTTATTGTACAAAATGGTGTTTTTTTTGGGTTTTATAATTCCAACCTAAAATGAGGAAACACTAATCAATACTTTGCTTGTCTGTTCTCACCGAGTGATTGAATGATTCACGGTATGATATCTTTGACCTACAGTGAAGAGTAAGTGAGAATAGAAAAGCAAGCGAACAGCAAGATATACATTTTTCAAATACTATTTGGAAATAATTTTAGTGTTACTCAAAATTATTCGACAAGGGCGGATGTGTGGGTGTGGGTGTGGGAAGTGAGTGTGGGGTGTGGGTGTGGGGTGTGGGTGGGTGTGGGTGTGGGGTGTGGGTGTGAGTGTGAGTGTCTATGTTCATCTTCTCTTAACTAACACCCACACCCATACCCACACCCACACCCCACACCCACACCCACACCCCACACCCATACACACCCCACACACCCACACCCACACACCCACACCCACACCCCACACCCACATTCACACACACCCCACACACCCACACCCACACCCACCCACACCCCTACACCCA